GTCCCCGCTCGTCGCCATGGTCACCGGGCGGGGTCCCCGCGGTGTCCCCCTGTGGGGACAGGGACAGGGGAGGTGACACCCCCGGCACGGGGGCAGGGGAGGGACAGCGCTGTCCCCGCACTGTCCCCGGCTGTCCCCGCGCTGTCCCCGCGCTGTCCCCACTCTGTCCCCACTCTATCCCCGCGCTGTCCCCGCGCTGTCCCCGCGCTGTCACCGCTCACCTGAGGGCAGCTCCGGGCGCACAGGACATGGCTGGGCCTGCAGAGAGTGGCACGTGGGTGACACGGGTGACACGGGTGCCACCCGCGTGCCAGCAGGATTGTCCCCGAGCAGGAGCTGGCTTGTCCCCGTCCCATGGTACCTGCGGATGTGTCACCTGTGCCACCTCCCGCGACGCTGTCCCGCGTGCTCTGGGCTGTGTCCCCGCGGGTGACAGTGGCTTTATAGGCCGGGCGGGGCGGGGGACAGAGCCCGCCCTTAATTGGGTGACAGCGACACCAGCGATGGCGAAATGCCACCAGGTGCCAGCGTCCCCAGCGATGCCTGTGGTCACAGTGGCGGGGATGTCCCCTGTGCCATCCCCTGTGCCTGTCCCCGCAGTGTCCCCTGTCCCATGTCCCCTGTGCCATCCCCTGTGCCTGTCCCCGCAGTGTCCCCTGTCCCATGTCCCCTGTGCCTGTCCCCGCAGTGTCCTCTGCCCCGTGGGTGGCCCCTGCCAGGTCCCTGTGCTCTGTCCCCAAGGTGCTGGTGTGTCCCCCTTGCCCTGTCCCTGTGGTGCCATCGCCTTGTCACCATTGTCACCATGAGTGCTGTCCCCAAGGTGCTGTGAGCACTGTCCCCAAACTCCCAGGTGTCCCCTGTGTCCCATCCCCTTGGTCCCTTGTGCCTTGTCCCCAGTGTCCCACATCCCCTGTCCCCATGATGCCACCTGCTCTGTCCCCATGGTGTCCCCTTGTCCCCTGTTCCTGTGTTCCCAAATCCCAAAAATCCCGTCCCTGTCCCCATAGTCCTTCACGCCCTGTCCCCAAAATGCCACCTTCCCTGTCCCCGCGGTGCAACATCCCCACATTCCCATGTCCCTGTTGTCCCCTGTCCCCTGTCCCCACGGTGTCCCCGTGCCCCATTCCCACAGGCCCGCATGTCCTGTCCCCAAGAGCCCATGTCCCCTGTGCCTGTGGTGACCTGTCCCCAAAATGCCACATTCCCTGTCCCTAGTGTCCCACTTTCACTGTCCCCAAAGTCCCACGTGTCCTGTCCCTCCTGTCCCCCATCCCCTGTCCCCACCGTGTCCATGTGTCCCTGTCCTCAAAGTCCCATTGTGTCCTGTCTCTATTGTCCCCATCCCCTGTCCCCAAAATGCCACAGTCCCTGTCCCTCCTGTCCCCTATCCCCGTGTCCCCTGTCCCTATTGTCCCCTATCCCCTGTCCCCAGAATCCCATGTCCCCTGTCCCCAAAATGCCACATTCCCTGTCCCCAAAATCACACGTGCCCTGTCCCTCCTCTCCTCCATTCCTTGTCCCCAAAATGCCACATTCCCTGTCCCTATTGTCCCCCGTCCCCGTCCCCACCGTGTCCACGTGCCCTGTCCCCGAAATCCCCTCTCCCCTGTCCGTGTTGTCCCCATCCCCTGTCCCCAAAATGGCACGTTCCCTGTCCCTCCTGTCCCTCCTGTCCCCCCATCCCGGTGTGTCCTGTCCCTGTTGTCCCCCATCCCCTGTCCCCCACGGTGTCCCCACGGTGTCTCCACAGGATCCGGGAAGGGGCCGCGTCACCCCCGCCTGGGGACGTCCCGTTCTGTCGCCATCGCGCGGGTGGCGCAAGAGCGGCCACCCCGCGGCGGTGACACATCCGGCGGTGCCACCAGCCCCGCCCTGTCCCCCCGTGCCATCCCTGTGCCACCCCTGTGCCACCCCTGTGCCACCCCTGTGCCACCCCTGTGCCACCCAGGCTCGGGCACCGCGTGGCCTCAGCATCTTTATTCCCGCACGGGCGCGCGGTGGCGATGGCATTGTCCCCAGGGGGGATGGCATTGTCCCCAGAGGGATGGCATTGTCCCCGGGGTGATGGCATTGTCCCCAGGGGGATGGCATTGTCCCCGGCAGGATGTCGCTGTTCTCGGGGAGGTGGCATTGTCCCCAGGCGGATGGCACTGTCCCCAGAAGGATGTCGCTGTCCCCAGAAGGATGGCACTGTCCCCAAGGGGATGTCACCGTCCCGGGGAAGATGCCACCGAGGAGCAAGGACATGTCACCCTCCCTGGGTGAGGATGTCACCGTCCCTGCTGGGATGTCACCCTCCCCAGAGGGATGTCACCATCCCTGGGATGAGGATGCCACCCTCCCTAGGGAGATGTCACCATCGTGGTGAGGATGCCACCCTCCCCAGGAGGATGCCACCCTTGGGATGAGGATGTCACCCTTCCCAGGAGGATGTCACCATCCCGGTGGGGATGTCACCCTCCCCAGGGGACTGCCAGCACCTCTGGGTTGAGGATGTCACCCTCCCCAGGAGCATGTCACCCTCCCCAGAGGGATGCCACCCTCCCCAATGGGATGTCACCCTCCCCAGAGGGATGTCACCCTCCCCAGTGGGATGTCACCCTCCCCAGAGGGATGTCACCATCACTGTGGGTCGGCCGGGGGGGGGGCTCAGCAGAGCTGGAAGTAGAAGTCGAGCAGGTTGGAGGTGACATCGAGGTGGCGACAGAGCGCCAGGGGCTGGTGGCCGCGCGGGGACGTGCACAGGAACCAGCCGGGGTGCGCGGCCGACTCGAAGCGCCACAGCCCGTCCCGGTAGGAGCGGAAGAAGGTGAAAGCGGCCGCGCTGTCCCCGGCGCGGGGCAGCTCCCGGATGTCCACGTCCTGCGGGCCACCCCCGTGTCACCCGCGGGGACCGCGGCCACCGTGCTGCACAGCCCCGTCCTGGAATGTCCCCCGTGCCCCCACCCTGTGATGTCCCATCCCTGAAGTCCCCGTGTCCCCAGGTGTCCCCATCCCCTTCCCTCCAGTGTCCCTTCAGTGTCCCCATCCCCGTGGTGTCCCCATTCCCACGGTGTCCCCATCCCCTTGGCGTGCCCTGTCCCCACGCTGTCCCTGCTGTGTCCCCGCGGTGTCCCTGTGATGTCCCCATCCTCTCGGCATGCCCATCCCTGTCCCCTCGGTGTCCCCGCGGTGTCCCCGCGGTGTCCCCGCGGTGTCCCCATCCCTCTGGTGTCCCCATTCCCACGGTGTTCCCATCCCCTTGCTCTCCCCCCGCCTCCCCTGTGTCCTCTCTGTCCTCTCTGTCCCCTCTCTGTCCCTTTGGTGTCCCCCCTTTGTCCCCTCTCCCCCCTCTGTCCCCTGTCCCCCCGCTGTCCTCGCTGTCCCCTCTCTGTCCCCGCTGTCCCGTGTCCCCGCTGTCCCCCCTCTGTCCCCTGTCCCCTGTCCCACCTGCAGGCTGAGCCGTGGCTCTCCGGCCGTGCCGCGCTGGGCTCTCAGGCAGCGGGAGCCGTGGCGAATGCCCAGGATCACGGGCTGCCGGGCGGGCTCGAAGGCGCGGTTGGGCACCCAGAACACCTTCTCTGCAGGCGGCACGGGGACCCTCAGCGCGCGTCCCACGCGTGTCCCCGTGTCCCCACGCGTGTCCCCGTGTCACCTTCCAGCGCGGCGTTGGCGCCCTGCAGGTGCCCGGCCACCAGCTGCCCATCGCGCAGGTACAGCGACCTCTGGTTCACGTCCCAGAGCCTGGGGGGGCACGGGGAGGGGGGACAGCGGTGCCACCCGCGGGGACAGCGCCCGCCAGCGCGGCCACCGCGCTGCAGAGCCCCGCTGCGCTCTGGCCCCGTCCTGGAATGTCCCCCGTGTCCCCACCCAGCCGTGTCCCCATCCCTGAAATCGCCGTGTCCCCCTCCCCGCGGTTCCCGTGTCCCATCCCGCAATGTCCCCATCCTCCAATGTCCCCATCCCGACGGTCCCCGTGTCCCCACTCAGCAATGTCCCCATACTTGAAGTCGCCGTGTCCCCATCCCGGCGGTCCCCGTGTCCCCACGCAGCAATGTCCCCATCCCTGAAGTCCCCTCCCCACGGTGTCCCCATCCCTTTCTCTCCAGTGTCCCTGCAGTGTCCCCATCCCCGTGGTGTCCCCATTCCCACGGTGTCCCCATCCCCGTGGTGTCCCCATCCCCCTGGTGTCCCCATTCCCACGGTGTCCCCATCCCCGTGGTGTCCCCATTCCCACGGTGTCCCCATCCCCTTGGCGTGCCCTGTCCCAGAGCCCTGCGGGGCGCGCAGGGGGAGGACAGCGGTGCCACCCTGTCCCCTGCCACCCGTTTGTCCCCCCGGGCTGTCCCTTACCGGTACTGGAACACTTCGGTCTGCAGAGCGGGCGCGTGGCAGAGGGCGAAGCCTTCGGCCTCTGCGCGGAGGAAGAGGAGGGCGAGGCTGAGGGTGGCCACCGTGGCTCCCAGGAGACCCCCGCGCCCCCTGCCCGCGCCCCCCGAGCCTTGGGGATCCCTCCCGAGCCCCCCGGCGGGGGTCCCGGCGGTGTCACCGCCCGTGCCAAGCGCTCCGTGTGCCCTCCCGCCCGGCCGGGCCGTGCCCGGGGTGCCCGGGCAGCGCTCACCCATGGGACCCCCGGCTCCGGCGGGACCCCCGGTTCTGGTGAGACCCCTGCTTCAGCTGGGACCCCCGGCTCCGGTAAAACCCCGGTTCTGGAGAAACCCCGGCTCTGGTGGGACCCCCGGTTCTAGAGAGATCCCGGCTCCGGTGGGACCCCTGGTTCTGTTGAGACCCCGGTTCTGGTGAGACCCCTGGCTGCGGGCGCTGCGGGCGGCGGCGAGGAGGGAGGAAGGAAGGAAGGAAGGAAGGAAGGAGGTTGGCGGTGGTGTTGCCACACTGCTGGGAAGGGCGAGCCCCGCCCCAGCCATTGCTCAGCATGCCTGTGGGGTGACAACCGAGGGGACACATTGCGGGGCGGGGGGCGACAGCGCCACACGCCGCGGGGACACCGCGACCCTCGCGGCGGCCGCGGCGGGGCTCGAACCCCCGACCTCAGAGGCGAGGGAGCGGCGCTCTCCCTACTGCGCCACCGCGGCGGCGGGCGCGCATGCGCGCTGCGGGAGCCGCGGGCAGCACGCAGGGACGGCGTGGGGAGCGCTGAGTGGCCGTGGGTTTGAGCATGCGCAGAGCGAGGCGCGAAGCCACAGAGCGCGGGCAGGGCGCTGAGGGCAGCAGAGCGCGTGCGCGCCGAGGGCGCGGAGACTGCGGCGCATGCGCACTGAGGCGGGTGAGAGTCTGGCGCATGCGCAGAGCGCCCTCCCAAAGGCGGGAGGGACCATGGCGGCGCTGGGGGAGGCGCTGAGGGCAGCGGTAGCCGCGCTCTTGCTGCTGAGCTGGGGCGCCCATGGGCTCTACTTCCACATCGGCGAGACTGAGAAGCGCTGCTTCATCGAGGAGATCCCTGACGAGACCATGGTCATCGGTGCGGGCGGCGGGGGCGGCGGCAGGGACCACCGGCAATGGCCGGGGGGGTGAGGGGGTGACAGGAGAAACCACCGGGCATGGCGGAGGGGTAACGGGAGGGACTAACGGGAACTTGTGGGGGGTAGCGGGAGAGACCAGCGAGCACTGGCGGGGGTACACACGCACACAGAATTTAGGATGGGGGGAATTACCGGGAGGGACCACCGGGCCCGGGGGGGGGCTGAGGAGACCCCCGGGACCGAGGGGAGTTACCGGGAGGGACCCTCAGGGCCGCGGGAGTGGGCGAGACCATCGCGCCCGCGGGGGTGATGGGAGCGACCGCTGCGGACCCATGGGGGGGAGCTAACGGGAAGGGACCATTGGGGAGCGGAAGGGGGTGCGGAGATTCCCGGGGAGCGGGAGGAACCTTTTTGGGGGGGATGGGAAAGCCCCGGGACCCCCGGGCCCGGGCTGGGGGTCCGGCCCGAGCCCGTGTCCCTGCTCGGTGCCAGGAAATTACCGGACACAGCTGTGGGACAAACAGTCCGAGTCCTTCCTGCCCTCCACGCCGGGGCTGGGCATGCACGTGGAGGTCAAGGACCCCGACGGAAAGGTCTGGGAGGGGTCCCTGGGGCGGTTTGGGTACCCCCTGGGCATGAGGAGGGGTCTCTGGAGGGGTTTGGGCATCTCCTGGGCATGGGGAGGGGTCCCTGGGGGGGTTTGGGCATCCCCCGGGCATGGGGGGGGGTCCCTGGGGGGG